AAACATGAAGAAATTGATTATTTTATTTATCCATGTTTTTAATAAAAAATGATTTAAATAATTAACACTATGAAAGCTATCACGAGCAAATTAGATGTTTATACACATTAATCCTGGAAATTTATTTGTCACAATTTAAAAATAATTTAGTGAGGCCATGTGACCACGAAGTTTACATTTGTAATGTTAGATACCCATTGGGAGAACCGAAGATTAAACTAAAATAAAAAAATACTCTTCTACAGACTGTTGAGAATTTATAAAATTAAAAAAAAAGTCTCAAGATAATATTATCATCAAAGTTTGAAAATAAAGAATTAACAAAAAATTACAACAAGGACACTAGAATTCACCAAAAACACAGAAATAATTCACCATTTAATTCTTAAAATAAATCACTTGGAAACCTCAATTTCAATGGTTGTAATGTTTCACCTTCCTAGGTAAAACATGCCTTAGTTCAATTATTTATGTAGGGCAAAGTGCCTGAAGATGATTGATAATACTTTATTTTTACATAACAACAATGATAAAATTGAAGTAATTTCTTCATGAATCAATATAAAGTCAAAACAAACCTATGAAGAATCAAAGAATAAGCCAAAATTCTAAAATCCAGCAGAAGAAATGCAATTCAATGGGGAAAACATGGGCTTAGAGCACAACTTGGCAGTGCACTATGTACAAATCTTGGGGTCTCCTAGGAAATGGTTGCTACTGGACTCTAAAATCATAACATCAATTTTTCTCAATTAATGCTTTTTAAGAGCAGATCAAATCTGTGAAAGTACACAACTCATACCTCACAAAAGGAAATTGCTCACTGTGTTCCTTTAAGATTTCTCCAATGTTCCCTCATGGCAACTTATCCTTCCCCAATAGTGTCGATTGGAGAACGGTCAATAATTGCCCTTCTAAGACTATGTGGAGAGTTATCCATTGAGAACTCATTAAATACTATATATTAGCCCTTTGATTGGGTAAATTATTTGACTTCAAACTTTCTCCTGAAGGAAGTCAACTGCCCAATGGGGAATTGTTAATTAATAATAGGCACCATTAAAGAAGCAAACATGAATCGGATAGGAAGAATCTGAAAAAAGTTCAGTAGATCCAACAAAATATATTGATCTATAAATGGTCTCAAGGAAGCTTTATAACATGTAATTTTTATTTAATAACTAGTGCTTAATTATAATATTAAATAAATTAATGCATGCTAAATGGGAAATATGTAATAAGAAATCAAGTTAAAGATGTTCGAGAATAATTATAAAAAATATATACCTGATATATGATTTTTACATACTTTTATGCATATTCATACTGTGAACATTTCTTGATCACATCTTAATATGATATACTTGACATTTTTACACATAATATATGTCATGATTAGAGCTAAAATCAAGATTTAATCATTGGAGATCATTTTTTTAGACAAACGATTTTTCCTGATTTTTTTAATTTTAAAACTGTTTTCGAAATATTTTTTACCTCTATGAACATTCTGAAGTCCATTAAGACGCATATTGTGTTGTTTTATTTAATCAACTTAAAATGACTCTGAAAGTGGCTGCACATGGCTGAAAATGGCTAGAAACAGCCACGAACATTTGGAAACGGCCAAGGAAATGGGAGAAGAAACAGATGGTGAAATGGAAGCTGATTCTGATTGAAAATCAATTAATGGTTAAGAAACTTAGTTTCTTTTGCCCACAATTACTTCTGCCGAGTGGCAGCCATCAGTGTTCTTTCAATTTTTCATCAATTTCTCATGCCATTTTTAGTTAAGTGAAGAATAAGGGGTATATAAAGCAAATGCATATGACACACAAAGGGATGTTGAATAAGCTTGCTAAGGAGAATCTTGCACATACATTGAAACGTTGCTTTATGGGTTGAAGCATCAAGATGACAAACATGTTCGAATTATAGTCAATTTGCGTATATGCTTGCTTTGTTGGCTCTTGAAACCCTTTCTATCTGGATGTTAATCCAATAAAAATGAGGAAAAAAGAAAAGTCTGATGTGATTTTGATATTAATTTATAATGATTTTTCATTATTTTTCCTAGTTCTGGAAACAAAAAGTCTGAGGTGCAAATGAGTCAACCAACCACATAAGAAGAGTTTCCACCATTTAAGTGATCAAGAGACTATTCATGGGAAAAATAAAAACATTACTTTGCCAAACTATGTTGCATGAAAATTGAGCTATTTAAAAGATTATGTACTAACCGTTGAGAAAGTTTTATATATATCCAAGAGAAACGTGAAGTATAGTCTTCTCTTATTTCAAAAAAACACCAGTGAATCATGAATCAATGCACTTAGTCTGTAGAAGAATCAGGTTCATACTAATAGAGAATAAACGAGGTGCTACAGTATATATGGATCAGTCATTCAGGAATGAATTAGTAGTTATTAGAAAGCTACAACTTGCCAATGCAAACGATTTTACAACTCTTTTAAGCTCTAAAAGTAGGAAGGAAAATATTGAATTATATGAGATTCTGTCAGGGAATTATACTAAAGTCCTTGAACGAGCTGATAAATTATTACATGAACAATCTATTAAAATAAAGGTTTCACATCATTGACCCACACTCTTACATACTCAATGAAAATAAGCATTTATCTTTTTCTATATGTTATAAGAATTTAAAATGTATTGAGTATGCCTAAAAGGGAGTCCACGAGGAAATATGATACGCCAAAATGTTTACCAACCAACATAGTGAGACTCTGGATTTGCAGACGAAATGACATAAAGAACTTATACGTGCATAAATTTCTTTAAGTCTAAGGAACTAGTGAGCTAGTTTCTGAGGGAAATCAAATTTCATGCAATCTTCAGAGTATTACCGAGTTTATTATTCCAAATATGGTATGGTCAATCTAGGATGCAGCTTGGCTTTACCATAAATAAACTACCAGATGAAGGTTCATAATGCTAGTCCTTTGATGAACAAATGAATATCATTTTATTTATTACTTTCTTCAAATTATTTGACAAAAATAGAATCTTCCATGGAGAACTAATATATTTCGTCAACAGGATTAATTTATCGCCATTTGGCTTATGCTACTATTTAAATATTTCGCTTTAAGTGCATTTTCTAATGGAGGAAAATAATGCATCTTCCGGTTAGTTTAAATGGTCTCTAGATATGTAAATCTTGGGAGCTATTTCTTTCTTTGACTTCACAGTTATAAAGCTCAACTCTTTTCGTAATCTGGCATCGTTCCTCACCTTCCAACCGTTCAGATATTTCATGCGGCGAAGAGTATGAATCAAGAGATGATGAAAAAGTCGAAGGTCCTTTATTTTATTTCTCTTGTTATTTATCTCGAACCTTGTAAGTGATTACGCCTTCTTCTTTCCGTTGATATTCCAAGGAACCTGAGCAATAATCATAATGTATCAGCCTTCCTTGAGTTGGAGCTTTTTCCTTACTCTTCTTCCTCTTCAGTCGACGACGACGTTATATTTGGCGGGTAAGATTGAAAGTTCCGGAAACATTTTTTATTTGATATTCGGCAACGGACACAACGCCGAAAAATCCAATAAATCAGAATTCCATACAATGTCTAGACAGCAACCCAAGTGATACTCTCTCTCTCTCTCTCTCTCTCTCTCTCTCTCTCTCTCTCTCTCTCTCTCTCTCTCTCTCTCTCTTCTCTCTGTGTTTCCTCACCAGCGGACAGAGAAGATCTGGAGGACTAAGGGAAAGAACACTGGACAGCAGCTGCGGAGGACGCTTCGCCTCGATAAACCCCGCCGCCGCCTTGGCCCCAGCGCCCTCTTCCTGAACGCGCCACCACCGTCATTGGTGAGAGCATCAGAACCCCGACGACTAGCAAGGTAGCGAGAAACGATCTGTGAGATGATAGTAACCTAACATGGTTTCAATTCTCGTGAAGGTAGGAAGGCCGAGAGGTGGGGCTGCCATCGAGTGCAACTCCTTCCAATTTGTACTTCGTCCAATGAAATTGCTCACCGTCTTCCTTCAAGTTTCCTCTATCTTTTTCTCCAAGGCCGCTCATCATCCTCCAGCGTCCATTAAATGGTCAACAATTGGTCTTCTAAGACTACGCGGGGATCTGCCATTGAAGAATCATTGAGCCTTTGATGGGTCAACCCTGAGACCGCAAGCTCTCTCGCCACTGAAGGTAGTCAACCGGTCAACGTGGTCCTCGCCACGAAAAGTATGCACCATTAATAACGTAAAACACGTATTTGACGGCAGATCCAGCGAAATAAATTGGTCTATACATGGGTTCAGCGATGCCCAGAGTCTGGAACAATGGGTAATGCGAAAATCCGTCTCTGAGGATTGGAGGGAAAAGCTTCCACTTTCCACTATCCTTTCTTGTCTGGATGGAAGGGAAGAATAGACCCATCTGCTTGCAACCTGAACCTTGCACTATTCATCAACTTGCACACACGGATTTCGCCAAAACGTTAGATGGGAGAACGATGGGGAAGATGACAGAGAAGGGCCCTTGAACGCTTTGGCGAAGCGTTCAACGGCGTCACACGTAGAAAGCTAACGATATCACGGAGGAGATCGCCTGCTAGGGCTAGAGGGTCCACGAGAAAGAACAAGAGAACAGGACATGATCACGGTGAACATGGGCAAGCTTCGTTCAGGAGGTTTGGGTATATATGGGTGTAGGAAAGGATATGGCAAATCAGGGTAACACAAAGGGTTTTTACCTTTTGTATTCCGAAAAACTGTGCTCACCGGAGCGAGAGAGAGAGAGAGAGAGAAGGGGAGAGAAGATGAAGAGAGAGAGAGAGAAGCTGCAACAGGGAGAGCACACCATTACTGAGATTCATATCCAACGCTGATTCGGAGACCGTGCCCAGTAAGACATAAAAACTTAACCGCAAGAAAGGTGCTTCTCTCCTTTCACGAACCTGCACCAAAGCAAAATCCATCAGCCCCATAGGAAGCGATGAGCTTCTATCAACGCAGATGTTCACAAGTTTGGCTACCTCAGGCTCTTAGGCGACGCATCTGCTTCCATCGGCGTCGGGGGGGCGTCAGCGTCATGTTTCGGGGGCTCTTCTTTGGGGATCTCTACCTTTCGGAAGGCCCGGCGAGATCCCAATCTGAGCTTCTGAAGCGTGGCCTCTGCCAGCAGATTGGGAGGATCTTCGTTAGATTCACTGGAAGAAGCAGAGACGGCAGGAGGAACGAGCACCACGGTGCTCAGGGATCCAGAGAGAAGAAGTAGAAGCCGGATGAAGGTGGCATCTTCGAGATGAGGTTTAGGTTTAGATGGGATTAGATGTCAGCATACGAGGACAGAAATTTGAAACAAAAAAATAAAAATCAGTCGGATGAAGGCAGATCTAATTCAAAACGAGATTTATCCAAGGAATTTAAACACCCCAGTTAAGGAAGGATGCTGTCATCGCATGGAATCGACGAAAAACTCATGCCTCCCGGTTGCCCCTGGAACTATAAATCCAAGCACCACGCGACGGCTATCAAACTTCAAGAACAACAAAAATATACCTTGGGGGAAACAAAAATAATTTAATGAGTGATACAGTCCATTTGATGAACGATCAGAAAACTATGGCCACTCTTGGAGGGAGTTCTCTCTTGGAATGCATCCCATGAAAGCAAGCTGCGTCATATCTCGTTTCTTGCGAGAATGCTACCCGAATCGAAGGAACACAACACACGGAGCTCAAGAACGGAACCCTGGCTTCTAGGATACTGTGAGTTATAAATATTCAGGCAAGGGAATAAAGAATTACGCGTGATTAACTGCACGGGATAGAAGATAGTAGGATGATTCACAAACTGGCGGATGCGGCCGTCTTCTGACTGTACTAGTAGTATTTGGCCAAAATCAATGCCACTGATCGCCAACGGGAGAGGATTCTGCATCGCAAAATCGCTTCTTCCCGTGAGGAGTGTGTTGGAAATAGAACCATCCACTACCACGAACCATCTTTGGTCATTCACCCCAATTGAAACGAGAACTCCACCAAAAACACTGAGCACATCTAAAAACGATCCGGAAGATGCATGCAGGAGAAGGCGGAAAGAAGAGGGGCACGAGAAATTCTCCGAAGGAAGCGAAGAATCCCTGGAACCGCGTCCGGCAGATCGGAAGATAGAAGAGAGAAGGAAGACGAAGAGGGGCATGGGATCACCGTAGATGGAGAGGGCATGGTCCTTGCGGACCTTGGACGCTGCGGCCGATCTCTCGAGCTCCAGATCGTCGAGAGAGAAGGGAGGCGGAGGCCTCCTCACGCCCAGCATCTTCTTCCCCACCTTCCCCTCCCGATCTCCCTTCGTCTGAGCAGAGCACCAAATGGCAGATGGGAGAGGCCAGCAAGCGGGAAAAGACGAGGTTTTTGGCGGTCTTTTCTTCACTAGAGACATGAGATGCGTAGCGCAAGACGCCTTGCACCTGCGCTGCCCAATAAGCAGAAGCCACGTCAGAAGAATCAGATCAACCCGAAGAGAAGCCCTGATTCCGATATCCGGGCCGGAGCCAATTCAAGCCAGGGCCCGACTCATTTTGGGCCCATTCCGAAACCTAGTATCTGAGAGAGATCTGAATCCAGAGAGAGGGAGAGAGGAGATAGCAAGTCTGACTTTGAAGAGAGAGAGAGAGAGAGAGAGAGAGAGGGGACTAACGGATGCATTGCGACTGCCAATAGAGTATTCCAATCTCTCTCTCTCTCTCTCTAAATCGTCAAACAAAAAGACCCATTGAGAAATAGTTGAAGAAGAGGGTGATGGGGGGCATTAATGGGGAGATTCTCTACAAAGCTCAAGAAACATCCGGGGTCAATTCTATCGGTTCATCAATCAGCTGCAAAAATTTCACGTCCCCGGCCGCAGAAAGTAGAACCCTCTGTCTCTCACTCTCTCTCTCTAACTCCGCTACGAGAGAGAGAGACACAAGAGAGAGAAACACAGCCACGCGCTAGAACTCGCCTTCCCTCTCTCTCTCTCTCTCTCTCTACATCGCCACGGCAGCTTCCTCTGAGCTCCTGCTGGCCTGAATCGTGTTGATCATGTTCATGACATTTCCCTGAATTTTTTTTTTTCAGAAATATTAGGGGGATGTGCTGAAAAAATACAAAAACTATCATTTAATAAAAATTGACGAACTAAAAAAATATAAGCATGATTTAATGTCGGAAACATTAGGAGGATGTGATGAAAAATCTGCAGGGAAGATCGACTAAAATCGGCGAAAATATAAATAATAAAAGGAATCTGCCGAATATAGAAAGTGTGAGAAGAATATTGATTAAAATTATTAAAAATATAGAAGTATCAGGAAGATACGATGAAAAGAGTGGAATGGGGATCGAATAAAATTTATTCATACAGGAAAAAAAAAGATGATTATTCATTAAAATTGACAAATATAGAAATATATTTGGAGGATTGTAAAACTGATAATTTAGGACAATCATGTGTAAAAATAGCAACCTTTTGAGCATTGGGTCCGAAAATCATTAAACCTGATTAAATTTTTTGAGGATTAACTAAATGTAGAAATTAAGGAGATTAATAAGATTGGGTCCGAAGATCATTAAACCACATAAATCTTTTCTTGAGTATTAACTAAATATAGAAATTAAGGATATCAATAAGATCGGGTCCGAAGATCATTAACTAAACCAGATTTATTTTTTTGAGGATTAATTAAATATAGAAATTCATGAGATTAATAAGATCGGGTCCGAAGATCATTAAACCAAATAAATTTCTTTTTGAAGATTAACTAAATGTAGAAATTAAGGAGATTAATAAGATCGAGTCCGAAAATCATTAAACCAGATTAATTTTTTTCTGAGGATTAACTAAATGAAGAAATTAAGGAGATTAAATAAGATCGGGCCCCCAAAGCACATTAAACCAGATTAAATTTTTTTGAGGATTAACTGAAAGTGGAAATTAAGGAGATTAATAAGATTTGGTCCGAAGATCATTAAAACCGGATACATATTTTTCTAAGGATTAGATAAATGTAAAAATTAAGGAGATTAATAAGACTGGGCCCGAAGAACATTAAACCAGATATAAAAAAAATTGAGGATCAACTGAATGTAGAAATTAAAGAGATTAATAAGATCAGTCCGAAGATCATTAAAAACAGTTTTTTTTTTTTGAGGATTAACTAAATGTAGAAATTAAGGAGATTAATAAGATTGGGCCCGAAGAACATTAAACCAGATTAAAAAAAAATTGAGGATTAACTGAATGTAGAAATTAAGGAGATTAAGAAGATCGGGTCCGAAGATCATTAAAACCAGATAATTGTTTTTTAGGATTAACTAATGTAGAAATTACGGAGATTAAATAAGATCGGGCCCCTGAAGAACATTAAACCAGATTAAAAAAACATTGAGGATTAACTGAATGTAGAAATTAAGGAGATTAATAATCTAGAATTGGGTTCATGTCTATACCCTCCAGATGCCAAGCTTTGATCTCAGCCCTTTCCACTGCCGCAAACCAAATACACGCTCGGTGGTCCGGCTGCAAGGAAGAAGATCAGATGCTTCAAAACTGGGAAGGACTCGCCATTGAAACTATGATTAATCGTAGATTCAGAGTTCCACAAGGATTCAAGCAGATGCTGCCCATGGATCAAGCATCAAAGGGTATGAATGATTTCATATATTTCAAATGAACTGTGCAAAATAATAAACCAATGAAAGAGGGAAGAACAATAGTATCACCAGACTAGGCAGTGAAGATTGAAATCGAGAGAAAAAAAAACTGGTGCTAAGGAATATTTAAGAACGCCCCATTCCGATTGAAGCCCAGGTTCAGAATTATCGCATAAAAGGTATGAATGATTTTATCATCAGCTCGATATATTTCATAAGAACTGTGTATAATAAACCAATGAAAGAGGAAGAACAATCGTATCACCAGACTAGCATTGATGATTGAAATCAAGAGAAAAAAGAACTGATGCTAAGGAATATTTAAGAATGCCCCATTCCGATTAAAGCCCAGGTTCAGAATTCTCGCCAGGATCAGTCAGAATCACAACCAGAAGATTGTACTGGAATTATGGGCAAAGAGTCCACCAGGATCACTAAAAAATCCACACTAAAAAAAGGCACAGAAAAATAACAAGAATATTTTTCACAAGAACAGTAGCTAGATCGATGAAAAGACAGAACAAGACGATCACCTGACGATCACAGACTGATTCATCTGATCCATCTTACAGTCGATGAGCTTCGCTGCAATTGCTTTAACCACCCAGTATTCAACCTCATCGTCGGTGATCTGCAGTAGGATCCAATCGATATTTAAAAGCAGAGGTGGGGAGGAGACTGAATATATAAAAAGGGGGGGGGGTGGGATTATTGGCATACGGCGAGTGATTCTTTGATGAGACTGTAGGGGATTTCGCCGGAATCATAGGAGCCCAGATCAGCCAGCGTCACCAGCCTCATCTTGGTTACACAATCCTCATGAACAAGGCCTATATGTTGCCTCCCACAAGGAGTCAATCACATGAAAGGGTATCTGAAAGAGGAAATAGCGGATCATACCATAGCTTTTCAGCAGGGTTGAGTTTGCTGAGTGGAATTCCAAGTAAGCGTCAAGTCTCTGAGTGAGGAGGATCCTCAACAATTCATAAACCAATGTGTAATTGGGATCCTTTTCTAGTTGTCCAACGGCGGGGAAATCCAGCAAATCGCACTGCACGAAAACCAAAAATTAACCCAAAAAATCAAGTAAAAGATTAAAACGTATCTACAAGCCACTAGATGAATCGGGTCACAGAGACTGATTCCCCCATCGCTGGCGTTCATCACAAAGACAACTATTTTCGCTGCATGCGGTGCAAGAAATGCAACAAAAATCGGCAAGCCAATCTTTGGTCACCAGATATTCTCAGAAGGCACTGTCTACATTGCAGTTATTCATCAGACTGTGTGAAATAGGACTTCGGTTCCTAGTAAAGTCTGACCAGAAACTATCTCCCTGGGAATTAGGCTGGCATCTGTTTCTTTTTTCACACCAATCTTCTGATGTTCTTCAGGAAGATTCCTCATCACCCATAAGTCAAAGGGGGTGGTGGTTTGGCAGCCAATGATCAGATGAAGCAACGGTTTGTTATGAGAAGTTATAAACAACTAACATGTGGGCACCATGAAAGTATTTTGAGGAATGATCCCTTGTCATCAGGAACTTCAACAAATATGGCACTCACAAAGTCAACGAATCGCCATCCTCAGTCTTCGAAATACAGAAAACAATGGGAGCCTGATCAAGCTAGCAAAGTCCGGTCAATTTGGGAACTTAACAGTGGATAGAAAAGCCTTATCACAAGATAAAAAAAACTGAAGAAAAAAAAGAGCGTGAGAAAGGAGCAATGAAGCACTTGACTTACGGAGAACAGCAGAGGATCAGTTTTCCTTGATAAAAGCAATCCAAGTGCCCTTGAAGGCTAGCATGACCTCATATGTTCCATCAGCTCTAAACCTGTGAGCAGAATCGATCTAATGTCCTCTATGACTTGGTGATGCAATCAACTGGGCAACCTGTGTAGTCAATCGACTACCCCCGTTGCTTTGCTGATCTCCAGTAGACTTGCATGTTATCAATGCAATTGTAATATACGGTGATTTCAATCTCTGTTTATCATGTCCCTTTCATTTAGTATAATTTATAATACAATTATGACTAAGAATTATTATATTTGTCGCTAGACTTACACTTCAAATTAACTAACTTCAGTGTTGTTGACAATACATCAAAGCATAGATTTCTAAAAACCGAAATTTCAGGTTTCAAAAGCGAGGGAGATTCCCTACAGCTTGAGAACATGGAAGTCACCATTAACGGATATTGGTTAGTACATCACTGTTACTAAAACTCCTGAAATGGCACATTTCCATCAGGTGTTGCCCACCTGATGTGCGTAAACTTTTCTGCTGCAATACCTTTCCACTAAGTAAAAGAATTCAAACTCCTTACAAAAACAACTTGGACGCTTCTATTTTTCATTTTTTTCCATAATTTTCTCATATGCAAGCGTTGCCCCTTGATTACTAGAAAAAATGGGTCAGTTCACTGCAATCCCCTTCCACTCACTCAGAGATTCTGGACTCGTACTTCTCCAGTCCTTGAAACCCAGACTCATTAACTAGCTCCATCACACACCTACTTCTCCTCTATCCTCTATAGTGGAGAGGCCAGTCAACCAATCACCCCCCATTAGTTATCTTACAGAAGATAATGTGCCATTCAATCTCTCTTGCAGATTGAAGAAATCACCATACATCACATTTGCATTCCAGAACATCACCTTCATCTTCAATACAATGCTTCCTCTTCCTCCCAGACAACGAGTCTCTTCAGCCCATGAAAGTTAGTTGCCCACTATGTAGTTTATTTTCATGATTACATTTTTTATTACCACAATGGATTTATCTACTTCAAAGCACGAGAAAATTACTCTAAAGAAGCAGAAAATACCCTTCAAATCCTAAATTTTTTGATCCATTGCAAATTCACTGAACAACTCAAAACCAGCTCCCCCTGCTCAACGAAAACATTAAATCATCAACGTTACTTTTCCACATTAAACATATTGGATGCCATTCTCTTCACATCTGGATGAAACCTTCATTAACACTCCGTCAGAAGTGGATTATATGACGAGAATTATTGCTTATTCATAATTTAGCAAAAGCTGGGGACAAAGAACGAGGACAGTGAAGACCTCAATCCTATAAAAAACAGAAAAGAAGTATGATGCGGGAGCAAACAAGAAATCACTTGACAACAGATACACAGCTTGTGGACAACCTGAGGAGATAGACAATAAGTCATCTATTAGGACAACTCTAAACGAACGATACCCTATGAAAATGGTTCACGTACGGCTTTAGAATGACAAACAGAATGTCTCTGCGCTAAAGATTTAATTTTATGTCAGAAGGAACTTTTGAATGGTAAATGAAATTTAGCTGCCGAGGTCAACATGACTAAGTGAATAGATTCTTAACATTATGGCATCATAAAACGGCAATTAGGTAATAACGAACCTGGAACATATCTGGAGACTTCACAAACTCTATAATAGCCCTCGCAGCTTCCTCTTTGGCTTCACTCAGAACATATGCATCCTCAGTGGAGAAAGTCCCTAAATACTTAATCAGGAAAGATAGAGATTCCTTTCCCATGCTGTCAACCAGGGATAGCCATGAGTCAAGAGTAGCAAAGAAAGAGATAGAATACATTTAAATTGGCCTTCGTGATTACCTTTTGCTATCCTTTAAAATGTTAGCTATGGTGAGAAAAAGAGATCTCTCCTCCACCTTCTCAAGCTTCCACTCCTTCAAAAAACTGTCAATCCTTTTAAATGTTGGTATGACATGGTCGGTGACTTTTCCACTGATGGCCAAATCAAGTGCCTTGGTATAAACAAAGAACTTGCTGTATGGGTTCTCCAGTAGATTGTACAGATTGAATAAGCTGCAGCAGAGCATTAGAGAAAGCGTAAGATACAGGTTAAAATTCCAAAAGAAACTAGATGCAAAATATTTCCTCACATCTTCAGACGCAGAGATGGCTTGTCACCAGGTTGCTGAAGAAGTTTTGCAGATATGAGTTTCGCCACCTCCAATGCCTCATCAAGAGAACTAGTGCGCGTGACAAGGTTGCATATGACGGTAAAGATGCACTCCAGATCTAGAAAAGAGAAACTAAATATAATGAAATCATATAGTTTTTAAAGCACAAGATGGTTCAAACACTCATCGATTGAACTCGCAGGGCTCAATATAGGAAACTTTCGGCTTTCTAGGACTGTAAAATTAAATTATCAGCTCATAAGCGGCAAACTTAAAAAAAAAAAAAACTGGGAAAACATGACTGATTTAAGACGTTGAAAGTTATCCCGAGGTTGTAAAACGTAAATTCATACCCTTCTCAGACACTCGAGAAAAAACTAGGTCTGCTGACGTAAGCATAAGGGAAGCTAGATCCAACCATCTCCCCATCACCATGCAGTCCTCTGCCTCAGCATACAACCGGGAAACTTGGGGTTCCGCAATCTGTTAAAAAGCATCAGTGACCATTTTATTTATTTCTTCCCTAATTTAAGGGAATATTTTAGGCATTAAACAAGAAAATGAATCTGAATGATGCACTATAATAGACTAAAGTAAAATCGTAAGCTCAAACATGTAACCAGTGAAAATTCATGATCATCAGCCATCCATATTTAAAGGAACAAGCACCTCCTTCATTCTAAACAAAGGAGACAATTATGACCTGTCGAAGATGTAATGCAGAGAAAACCGTGGGCACTTTAAACTCTAATGATATTAGTGCTCATGATTCTTCAAATTATCCCTATTCACATGAAATTTGGACATTTTTCAAAAAAATATTATATATCAAAAAAAGTGAAAGTCTGTACCTTACCATAATGGAGCCATAGAAGCTCAAAGCCGTAAGACTATAAAATTCATTTTCTCATTGGGCTTGGTCCCAGAAATTAAAAATTATGATGAAAAATTTCATTCGGATATAACATAAGCCAGATCGCAATAAATCTGTTCAACTGTACATGCGATTGTTCTAAAACTCTGTACATTGAATAAAGCAACAGAAGCATACGTTCACATTATTATATAATCAAAATACATATTTCAGACAAGCCACCAACATCGCATATTTTTAGGACCATCATAGTTATAAAAAAAACGTGCTCGAACTAAGGCAACACTAACATTTCATTGATGTTATTTCCAATCTCCCATTGGTGGACTCAAAGAACAGTTAGGTGACATTATTTCTTTGATAAGAAAGATGTAGAACCAACTATTTAAAGCCTAAACTAAGTTGAGCAATTGATTGACCTGAAGATAGAGACGTATAGGCAACGTAAGCCGAGAAAAATGGCATATCAATACACTCAATGAGTCACAAGTATACAGCACAAAAAATAGTAATAGGCAGAGGATAACAATTTTTAATACCTCAGCACCACCGTCAGCCCAAGCGAGTTCTGCAGTGAATCTGACCACGACGAGGGCAGGGTCTTCATCTGACAATGGAACCACGGTTGCCATATTTTATCAAGCTGCAAAGCACCAAAGATGGACAATTGAATTCCCATGAAACGGGCTCACACTATATTTACCAAACAGCACAATAACACCCATTATATGTCCCGCTGAAAGTAGGAATTCTGGGTTCGCCGTGTCTGACGACAGGAGAGGAGATAAACTGAGAGAATGAAAAAATCCGTCCCTCAGAGAGAAAAACCGAGAGACGTATTAGGGCGGGGGAGGATGCCACATCAAAGACCCGCGCCAGGAATGGGCGACAGACAAGTCCAAACTTCCATCTCCGGGATTAAACCTAGAGCCAACGAGCTAAGCAAGCAGAATCTGAAGTAAGGACGAGAAAACCTCGAACCTTGCCGATGTCAAAGCTTCGTCCGCTGCTTCCTCTCCCCGCCGCTGAAATCTGCCTCCGGCTGCTACTACGGCGGCGGCACGGAGACACAGAGAGGGAGAGAGAGAGGAGGTTTTAGGGCGCAGCTGACCTGCACCAGAAATGGTCTACTGATCTGATAATGGCCCATTTGGCAGCCCATCCAACATGAAGCCCACCCGAAAGCCCGAAACATTAGCTACTTTAGAAACCTGAAAGTGTCAAACCGGCCTGAAAGCCCGACTGATGAGGCATTTTACAAGTATAAGACGAGTCGGCCCGGCCCGAAAGTTCGACACACTTTGCTTCTTTGTTCTAATGTAGTCAAGGCCCGGCCCAATTTGATCTCGCATGATGGGTTTAGAAGTCCAGATTTTAAGCCAATTTTCCCATGAAGAAACGTTGACAAACAGGCTTAAACTCCAGATATTTTATAAATACTATCTTTATAAGTTAATGGGCCTAACCTAGGCCTCACTGTGCTCGGCCCAAGCCCACCCATCTTTTAAAAGTACTCCCACATTAATGCTTAGTAAAGATTGGGCCTTCTCCATAAGCAGTACTAAAAACTGGTGGGTGGGGCTGAACCTTATTATTACCTTTCTAAGTTTGGTTAAATGTAAATCCACATTGGATTTTTCACTTTAGTTGGTCCAACCTACATTTTATTATATAAGAGGATAAATATATGTGTGATGCAACCAATTCAATTGAACTAATCTAATTAAGGGGTGGGGTCATCCAACTCAAAGTCAATTAAGTATAACTAGAGTTGACTCATTTCTATATATTATTTATATTTGTTATCCGACTATGTACATGTTATATTTTTTTTCTAGTATTGGACAAGTTTGAACAATGATTGATCCTCAAATTTTAAGGTTATATTAATTTAATAAAATTTACATCATGAAGGTTGATTATTAGAAAATGAAGAGCAAGGAGATTTAAGTTCAATTGAGCTGAGAAATATTTTAAACAAAATATTCAGCTTATAAAATATAATTATATTGAAGTTTGGAAGATTTACTCAACTCAATATGCACCAAGTAATGATATGTTATCATATGACAGAAATCTGACGTATGAAGTTGGCTTAGCGATTTTTATTAATACATAATACACTTTTTTTGAAATAAATTGAATGAAATTAATAACAACATGATGAAAATAGTATTTTCTTGAGTATGAAACTGAATATTTTTAGTCAAATGGAGATCAATCAATGACCATTATATAACATTCCTTGATATCAAGGTGTAGAAATGTGGGAACCCATTAATTATGAAATAACCAGATCAAATATAATCTGATAAAGTAGGGTCCATTGGTTTCAATATGTTGTCTAATAAAGTTAACTGAAGGTGAATCAATAGTGACCATAATGAGCATAGCAACGCCAGTAGAAGGATAGGGTGGGACCATCTTCATGCATATAAATATCATATATAAATGTCTAAAGCATGGAGGAACCAACAAGAGGTCAGGAAGAGAGAACCATCATGATAAGGCCTTCTTTTTCTTTGAATTCCAAACCCAACATCAAAGAATGATCCTAGAGATGGGCATCAATGAAGCAAGGCCATATCTTTTCACAACTACCACTACCTTGATGACATGTGAAGCCTAGCATGTAAATGTTTTTGATGTTTGGGCGATTGTGATTGTGATTGTGATTATGAGATGGTTTAAAGTAGATGAATTTGAGTCTAGACTTTCATACCGAACCTGATGTATATAGGTCTAAGTTTATAGAATCATACTCAAATTTAGGAATTCAACTTGGCACAAAATATAGGCAAATATTGACAGCAAGAGATTGAGAAGTTTTAGCAAAATCATCATTCTTTGAAATGGAGTAAAAAATCCTACTTCAAGAGTTAGCCTTTTATTTTTGTCCATGTACATTAGGCAAAAAGACTAGAACAGATATATGACAATGTATGAATGCCAATATATATCATGATCCTCATCTTGGATAGGAAATCTCTTTCATTAGTAAAAGGATCAATGATGTATCATTTCCCTCCAAATGGCAAGTAATTGTAATCATAATGTATTTTCAGATGTAAATAATTATGGTGGCCTAATAGTTGGTATCTACATGATAGACCTATTTGTGGTTCTTCTATCAAAGACCTGTGTTTCCAAAGGCAAGGCCCCTATAGCCAATAATAACAATATAGGACCCCATGGCTATAGTTCTATACAATTGAAGAGGCCACTTTAAGTTCATGCATTAAAAGACATTATTCAAATCAAATACTAGACTTTCCAAGTCATGTGAAAGATTTTCTTACATATTATAATTATTTTGATTTTGTTACAATTTTTTGTGTCCATGATTTATTTTTAATTTTTAAAAAATAAAAAGCTACTTTTCTCATGCCCATAAATATTTAGCAGCAAAAATCTATACGATTTCAAGTGAGGATCTTAACTTTCTCGGCTCTTAATTTTACAAGTTTGATAATCTTCCCGCTCTTGGTTTTGTTCATATTTACAATCTTTAATTATTTCGTGATGTAGACGCATTATTAATATCGAGTAGAACCTAGGATCATCTTCCTTAGTTTATCTCTCCCGTAGGTTTAAGTTTATCTAATGAGCGAGACTTCTTGTCTTAGGTTTAAGTCGTCATTTCCCAAAGAAGTTTTCGTTCCAAAATTCGGCAATGAATCAGACGTAATTAAAAAATAATGCTTCGAGAAGCAAACATCTTGTTGACTTGGAAAGGTAGGTAATAAATGATTTCCTTCAAAGGTACGTAAAACATCAGGATAAGTTCCCACTAGTTGACTTCTTAACACTTGTCAACATTAGCATATATGACGAGTATATGTATAAGAAAATATGTTTCGACATCTGCTATACAAACTTCTTTCAGCTTAAAGTAGACACTCTGGATAGAACCTAGTTCAAATTCCAACCAAAACATACACAGCGGGACGTAAGCCACTAACCTTGCTGCCGTCTCATCCCTGCTACTGGAAGAGTTGAGAAGTCGTGGACAGTGACAGGGCATTTATCATGTCAATGTTTGAAATAGAGGTGTGATGAAGCTTCATGAAGCTTCAAGGAAGGTGGTGGTGAGTCATTTCCCTTCCGTGCAGTATAAATCTGGAGGAGTTGCACGCGGTGGCCTTACTCCTCTCCACTTTCATGCCTCCGGAGAATGGCAACCATGCCAAGGCTCTTGCTGTCTCACCGCCACTCGCTCGTCACGTTGTTAATCGTAGGGGTCTTGATGATGACCTCACCTACAACGGTGGTAGCACGGTGGTTTGGCGGCGGGGGCGTGGGCGGTGGGCGGGGGGGCAGCAGTGGGCGGGGGGGCGGCGGAGGTATTTGGCCTCGCGGTTCCTCCGCGTCTGCTGCCCAAAAGTCTCTCAGTGAAGTAATTTTCCCCTTTGCCACATACATCTTTTTCTTTTGGTAAAGAGAGAGGGAGAGAGCGAGAGATCACAAGACTTATCTAGTGTTTCATAGTGTGATAGTTCTCCAGATATCTATATTGGAGTCTGTACTATTGCTGGGATTTCTACATGTCTGTTTAATTACTGAATTCATTTCAAAACATATTTCCCGAAATGAGAATGTTTCGCGTCCATGGTAGATAGGCTAACAATGGCCATAGATAACGTGAACGAAAAATCATACTCACGAGATGAGCAGAAGGAATGTATTCTTGGGTTCTGTTCTTTACTGATTATGCCTTCTTTTTTTGCTACAAAACAAAATATTTGAATCATATTAGTGCGAACAAAGTAGAAATCACAAAGAAGATCAATTCCATATCGAAACATTGAGAGTGAGAAATTGAACGATCCCTAACAATTACCTATATAACCAATTAAAACTATATTTTACTGCCAAAGAAAAATATTTACTAGAAAATGGCCAACTAATATTATTCATTCACCTAGTTTTGTCAAAAAGGAGATAATGCATTTAATTGTTATGCAACTAAATGATAATAGCTTTGATAGTAAGACTACAGGTCGATACATGTCGTCTCCCTCACACTCTCTGTATTTCTCCTCTCGCTCTCTCTATATTCTTTCCTCTAACTTCTTTCTTTTGTCTTCTCGCTCTCCCCTGCTCCCTCTCCCCCTCTCTCCCTCCCCCTCTCACACCCTCTTATCTCTCCCTACGCCACTCTCTTACTCTCCCTAGCTTTCTCTTCATCTCTCTCTACCACCCTCTCTGCCCTCTGGCTCTTTATCTCCCTCCCTTCCCTCACCTTCTCTCGCTCTACTCCCCTCTCTCTCTCTCTCCCTCCTCTCTTTCTCTCCCTATCTCTATCTTTGTCTTCCACTCCACCGGTCTCCTTCTTAGTGTCGATACATGTAAGCGAACAACTGATTCCAAAAAAAGACTAACGTAACCTTAGAGAAAATACAATTCACACATACTCTTTGTATCACTTCCTCCTCCAAGTACTTACCCTCTCTTCTAAGCCAACGAAAAAAAGCTAATGAGGACTTCTTACCATTGATGGTTGACGTGACTCAGTCGTTGTATATTAAATCACGCAAATTTAAAATTTATAAAACTAGAAAATACGAATTTTCGGATATTTAGAAGTATTTCAAAATAAATATATCAATTATAATTCAATACAAATCCCAAAAATAGTGGTAATTTTCTAGGTCGATCATAGGGATGTAATATAATATCTGGTAATTATTTAGAATTTTTCTCAATGAGTACAATTTTCTTACGAATTTTATACTAGGAAATAAAAAGGAAATATATTTAAAATTCACAAAAAAAAGAGGAAATAAGGGTGCGGACGTCAGGATGACGTCAGCGCCCGGCGAACGCGAATCAGGCGGAAACAGAGTTCCGCCCGGCGATTCTTACGTAGGCGATTACAGACGACTCAATTAATCAAATTAAGATCTGTAAAAGCCGGAAGAATCGTAGTTGAACGAAGTATAGTTTGGTAAATAAAAATCAACAAAGTATCACTAAATGAAGCGTAAATTAAATTGAAAGCAGGAAAACAGAGTTCCGACGTCGCGACGGCGATGCGTCGGCGATGCACCGGAATCCTGAGCGTTCGGGAGGATCGTCGTGCAGTGTCCACGACCTCGAAGGCTCTCCTTGGACAAAGACGACGTGGGCAATCTCTAGATAAAGTAGGAAAACAAAGTTCCGGCGTCGCGACGGCGACGCGTCGGCGATGCACCGGAATCCTGAGCATTCGGGAGGGTCGTCGTGCAGTGTCCACGGCCTCGAAGGCTCTCCTTGGAGAAAGACGACGTGGGCAATCTCTAGATCTTCTCGCGAAGTCTAGAGACCAATGAAGTGGGTCGTCGAATCGTCTCTGGCGGCTGTCACCCGGCGGAGCGGAAAAACGGCGACTTTGCGGCTCTCCGGCGGCTGTCACCCGACGGAGAGGGGCTGGATGGAGGTGAGGCGCGTGTTAGGGAGCTTCATCCTCAGGTCCGCGCAGCAAGAGGAGGCTCTTCATCGCATCTGGTACGCTCTCAGGAGGTGGCGACTGGTCTCCCGGCGGATCGTCCTCTTCCCGACGACGGCTTGTTCGTCGATCAATCGGAGATGATTTACTCGATGGATTGCGATCCTTTTATCGCGAATCGTTCAGAAATTTTAGTAGCAATGCTCCGCGAATCGCGTTGACGAGATTTTCGCCGATGATCCAGCGATTCCGGTTGCTTAATCCTTCACCGGCGATTTGCAGGAAAGTCGCGATAATCAGTTAAAAATATATGAATTTTGACTCTGGGAGGATTCGAACCCGCGGCGGTCGCCCGGCCTTGAACAAGGTGTGACGCGGGTTTAGTCCCACATCGGTTGTGCGCGGATTATTCGGGCGAATATATAGTAAAGTTAGCTTTTTAGGCAAAATCCTCTCGCGTGTACGACCACTCCTTGCCCCACAGCCGGCTGACCACCGATGACGTGGAAGGGGAATGGCGCACACGTGCCCCTATCGATCCAAGCAAGCTGCTCGAGCCCCTGCTCGCGGCTACTCCCCGACTGCGCTTCCAACCCGCTTGCGGGCCCGGCTGGCCGGCGGGTCTCCCCATTTAGCAATATTTTTATTTTTATTTCTTGTTCTTCATTTATCTCAAAACTAAGACTGTAAAAATCGTATAAAATCACATAATTACCCAAAAATTCACGTTAATCAACTGAAAACCACTTTTCATGCTTTAACACAAATATAAGTCTATTTATCATGAGTTAAGGCTAAAACTATATTATTTACTAATTATTAACTCATGATAATGAAGACTTATCAATGGTGCAGTGACAACTATATAATACCCAAGAGTATAGTGCGAGGCTAATGAAGAGACCACCTTAAGTTTAGTGATTTAAAGGTATTATTCAGATCACAATACTATAACCTTACAAGTCAAATGTGAAAAATTTCTTGCGAATTCCAATTATTTTGACTTTTAAGCTTTTTGTGTCCATGATTTCTTCCACATTTTAAAGAAACATAACTGCTACCTTTCTCATGGCTAGGAATATTGAACCGCATAGATCCATGTGTTTTCCAATAGTGCAGTTAACTTTCTCAGCTCCTAATTGTACAAGTTTGATTTTTTTTCTACAATTGATTTTGTTCGCACTAACAGCCTTTAAAAATTTCATGTTGTAAGACATAATCAACATAGTGTAGAACCCAGGATCATCTTTGTTGGATTATCTTGCGAGTATGTTTGTGTACCCAACAGGGGTAAGATTTTGTCTTACGATCAATATTGCCTTTTATAGGATTTATTCCACAAACGACATGTTCTTGTTTCCCAAAATATTGTCTGTACCATGTTCATTCCTGAACACAAGTAAAAATCCCAACAATCGTACATATTTCACTATATGTCTATCCAACATATCCCACTAGAATACGCTAGAGAACCCTTGTAGAGAGAGGAGAGAGAGGATCTGGACTGTCCCATTCAGTCATTTGAAGCTGGTGATAAGAACAAGAAGATGAAATGTACTACACATCAAGACTCTCTCATTCATATATAATTGTCTACTCTTTATGCCTTGGGAGTCGGCTTTGGTTCTCCAGCATTGGTTTCCTTTCAAAGGTATGTAAGATATCAAGATAAGTTCCTACATGTAGACTTTTGGCAATTGTCAACACCAGCATGTCTGATGAAGATATTTCCAAGTGTTCAAAATGAGCATCCTCGTTCCTCTACTTGCTCAATAGAAGAAATTGCAACATACATCGACTAAAGATAAAGAGGGAGAGAGAGGTGAGAGATGAGAAACACACTGACGCCAAAACTGAGGCCCTTTCGGACTCCACCGTTTTTGCAATAACTTCAGATGCCATATAGCCAGGATCTGAAGCACTTCACCTTCAGAAAACTAGATGTTCAATGAATGTCGAGCAACCACCTCATGACCCAAAAGATCAAATGGTTCAACTTCATCAGTCGGAGGAAAGTCCAGAGTTCATTCGCTACTACCGATGTCACATCTCAATTGTCCGGATTTCAGTGACTTTCTCTACTATGAATTCACAAGTATTTCTGTTTTTATTTTTGGAACTAAAAGACCTATGAAAGGCTGCAAACTGTACTTTTTTGAGGGTGGCATCTTTTATTGAGATTTACGTCTTCTTTCGCTCTGATTTTGGGAGTTTGTCTCGAGGACTCTGTTCCCCAATTCAGTTAGTTGTGAGGACCCCGTTGCTTCCAATTGGAGCCTAATTTAACCATTTGCCAGGCCACCTAAGACTCACAACTACACCGATCGATGGGGCTTGCTCACTTTCTTCTCAGCTTGCTCCCAATAAGGTTTGCTTCACGGTCCCAAACTAAATCTTCCGCTGGGTCTAACGAGACTCAGATGCATTCCACTGTGGACTGACAAAGTTAGCAGTAAAGGACATAGAAAGAGAGGGATCTTCAACTTTATTTGATTTGTTTGCTTTCTCCAGTCTTCTGCTGGTGTCTCTAGGACTCTTGTCATTAAACTTAGCTGACTCGCACCATTATATGTTGCCAGAGGTTTGGATCTGACTGCTTCGAATTGAGTTGGTTTCAAGTATCTAAGAATCAAACTTCAGACTTAGGGCCTGACCCTACTATTCTAAGCCCATGGGCTTAGGTTATTTTAATTATTTCTTCACAATCTACCCTTCTCACCTCTTCTCATCATTCTATTTATTTGCAACACCATCACCGAGTAAATTCAAGTTCATGTGACCATCGAAGTGTTGATGCCCTACAATGCTAGAGCTTACTATGCCAAAGCCCACGACTTAGATTTTGAAATTGTTGAAGCACACAAACAAATCATCTGCTAAATCGGCTTCCTACTCCACTCAAGTGATTTAATATATCTTCTTCTCATTGTCAACAAGAGATTATAGAATTACCCACTTTAATTACATATATGCTTGATCCTAACCTCATGATGGAATTGGTTTTTGATCTATTAAAAGAATGAGTATCCTACTTCAAATGATTTTCTTTAAGTTTCTCGATCCAATCTTTTTTTCTTCTATCGGCAGGTGGCTTGTAGTTGTTTCAAGTTGTGTGCATCTACCAAACTCTACTTACAAGAAAATTTAGTTAATTGTGTAGCAATATCTATGAGTCTGTACTTGCACGTGTGCATTTTCCCCATTTGTCTTGAGTCACACTAGATATATGAGGATCCTCTAATGTCCACAGTCGCACATGTTCTTGTTCTTTCAGGAGCAAGAATCATCTTATCTTTCAGCATAGTCCTCAATGCAATGGGACACAATACCCGGACAGCTTAACATAGCAAAGACGGCGGGGTTTCTCCCTTCTTATCGCATGCTTAGTGAAAATATATGGGAATGCACAATGCATAGTGGGAACCTAGTTCAACATGCAACCAAATGATACACAATAAGATGTATGATGCAAACCCTCCTTGCCATCTCATCACTACTACTAGAGGAGTTGAGAAGTCATGGGAAGTGATAGGGTATTTATCATGGTAATGGTCACCATGAAGATTTGATGAAGCTTCGAGCTACGCAGTGAGCTATTTCCCTTCTATGTAGTATAAATCAGGAGGAGTTGCACATGATGGCCTAACTCCTCTACATCTTCATGGTAATCGTGGCTTTTGATAAAAAAATATTTATCTAGAAAATGGCCTAGTAACATTCTTCGTTTTACTATTATAGTTAAAAGGAGATAATATGTTTAATCGTGATGCAAGTGAAAGATAATACCTGTAGCTTTGATAGTAAGATTATAGGTTGATAAGTGGCTGATAAGTCTTCATTATCATGAGTTAATAACTAGTAAATAATATAGTTTTAATCTTAACTCATGATAAATAGACATATTTGTGTTAAATTGTAAAATGTAGTTTTTAGCTAATGAACATAATTTTTTAATTAATTATATGTTTTTTACAAATTTATAAGATTTTTATAATCTTATTTTTGAGATAAATAAAGAAAAAGAAATCAAAATAAAAATATAGCAAAATAGGGGGGACTCACTAGCCAACTGGGCCTACAAGTAAGTTGATAAGTCTTCATTATCATGAGTTAATAATTAGTAAATAATATAGTTTTAGCCTTAACTCATGATAAATAGACTTATATTTGTGTTAAAGAATGATTTTTGGTTTTCAATTGATTAACGTGAATTTTTGGGTAATTATGTGATTTTATACGATTTTTACAGTCTTATTTTTGAGATAAATGAAGAACAAGAAATAAAAATAAAATATTGCAAAAATGGGAGAACCCGCCGGCCAACCGTGCCCGCAAGCGGGTCGGAAGCATAGTCGGGGAGTAAGCCACGAGCAGGGACTCGAGCGGCTTGGCTTGGGGACCGATAGGCACGCGTACGCCACTCCCCTTCCACGTCACCGGTGGCCAGCCGGCTGTGGGGCAAGGAGTGGTCGTACACGCGAGAGAAGGGACTTTGCTCATAAAGCTAACATTACTATATATTCGCCCGAAAACTTGGCGTACAACTGATGTGGGACTAAACCCACACCTTCCTCAGAAGAGGCGGGGCGACCGGCGCGGGTTCGAAGCCTCCCAGAGTCAAAATTCATATATTTTTATCTGATTATCGCGACTTTCTTGCAGATCGCCGGTGAAGGATTAAGCAACGAGAATCGCTGAATCATCGGCGAAAATCTCGTCAACGCGATTCGCGGAGCATTGCTACTAAAATTGCTGAATGATTCGCGATAAAAGGATCGTGAATCCATTGAGTAAATCATCTCCGATTGATCGACGAACAAGCCGTCGTCGGGAAGAGGACGATCTGCCGAGAGACCTGTCACCACCTCCTGAGAGCGTACCAGATGCGATGAAGAGCCTCCTCTTGCTGCGCGGACCTGAGGATGAAGCTCCCTAACACGTGCCTCACCTCCATCCAGCTCCTCTCTGTCGGGTGACAGTCGCCGGAGAGCCACAAAGTCGCTGTTTTTCCGCTCCGCTGGGTGACAGCCGCCGGAGACGATTCGACGACCCACTTCATTGGTCTCTAGACTTCGCGAGAAGATCTAGAGATTGCCCACGTCGTCTTTGTCCAAGGAGAGCCTTCGAGGCCGTGGACACTGCACGACGACCCTCCCGAACGCTCAGGATTCCGGTGCATCGCCGACGCATCGCCGTCGCGACGCCGGAACTCTGTTTTCCTGCTTTCAATTTAATTTACGCTTCATTTAGTGATACTTTGTTGATTTTTATTTACCAAACTATACTTCGTTCAATTACGATTCTTCCGGCTTTTACAGATCTTAATTTGATTAATTGAGTCGTCTGTAATCGCCTACGTAAGAATCGCCGGGCGAACTCTGTTTCCGCCTGATTCGCGTTCGCCGGGCGCTGACGTCATCTTGACGTCCGCACCCTTATTTCCTTTTTTTTGTGAATTTTAAATATATTTCCTTTTTATTTCCTAGTATAAAATTCGTAAGAAAATCGTACTCATTGAGAAAAATTCTGAATAATTACCAGATATTATATTACATCCCTATGATCGACCTGGAAAATTACCACTATTTTTGGGATTTTTATTGAATTATAATTGATATATTTATTTTGAAATACTTCTAAATATCCGAAAATTCGTATTTTCTAGTTTTATAAATTTTAAATTTGCGTGATTTAATATACAACGACTGAGTCACGTCATAAGTCGAAAGTATAGTCGGGAGGAGTCACAAGTAGAGGCTCGAGCAGCTAAGATTGATGGGGGCACGCATGTGCCACTCCCCTTTCACATCATTAGTGGCCAGTCGACTATGAGGTAAGGAGTGGTTGTACATGTCGGAGAAAGGGAGTCATTACTTAAAAATGTGATATTAGTATTTATTTGCCTAAAACTTTAGCACACAAGTGATGTGAGACTAAACTCACATCACACCTTCTCTCGAAAGGCTTTAAAGGTAGGCAATCGACGTGGGTTCAAATCCTCTTAGAGTCAAAACTTGTATTTTTTTATTTGATTATCGTGACTTTCTTGTAGATCATCGGTGAAGTATTCAGCCACTAGAATCATTGGATAATTGGTGAAAATCTCGTCAATGTAATTCGTAGAATATTATTTTACTAAAATTACTAAATGATTCGTGATAAAGGATCACGAATCCATCAAGTAAAGAATCTACGATTGATCGATAAATAAGCCGTCGGGAAAAGGATGATTTATTAGGAGACAAGTTGTCACCTCTTGAGAATGTATCAGAAGAGCCTCCTCTTGTTGCACGTACCTGAGGATAAAGCTCCTTGACATGCACCCCACTTCTATCCAATTCCTCTCTATCGGGTGACAGCCACTAGAGCGACATAAAGTTGTCATTTTTCTACTCTGTCAGGTGACAACCATTAGAGACGATTTGATGACTCATTTTATTAATCTCTAAACTTTGCAAGGAGATCTACAGATTGCCCACATCGTCCTTGTCTAAGGAAAGCCTTTGAGGATATGGACACTACACGACGATCCTCTCGAATGCTTAGGATTCTAGTGCACCGTCAACATATTACGGCTGTAATGTTAGAACTCTATTTTCTTACTTTCAACTTAATTTCTACTTCATTTAGTGATAATTTATGTGATTTAAATTTACCAAGTTATACTTCATTCAATTATGATTTTTTTAGCTTTTACAAATCTTAATTTGATCAATTAAATCATTTATAATTACTTACGTAAGAATTATCAGGTGAAACTTTATTTCTATTTGATTCGCGTTCGTCGGGTGTTGACATCATCTTGATGTCTACACCCTTATTTCTTTTTTTTATAAATTTTGAATATATTTTATTTTCATTTCCTAATATAAAATTCATAGAAAATCATATTCTTTGAAGAAAATTCTAAATAATTACCTAATATTATATTATATCCTTATGATCGACCTAGAAAATATACTATTTTTGAAAGTTTTATTGAATTATAATTGATATATTTGTTCAGAAATACTTCTAAATATCTAAAAATTAGTATTTTTAGTTTTATCAATTTTAAATTTGTGTGATTTACTATACAACGATTAAGTCCTGTTAAGTCGTGTGAGATTATACTCTCTTATTTTTTACTTTTGTGCCACTCTCTTACTTTCTCCAGATCTCCTCGATATATCCGATTTGTCTTTCTACTACTCATTCTTTCTTCTCTCTTTCTCTCCCTTTGTCTTTGTTTATCTATCTCTCTCTCTCTCTCTCTCTCTCTTTTAGTTGCTATCTCTTCTTCTCCCTCTATTTTGTTAAGGACACAACTAATTTAAACAAATGCCATTACAGATTAAGAAACCACTACAACACCAGCCGTCAACCCAAACAAATCAGAGCAATGTTTCAATAAAAGCAACAACTCCTTGCCCAATTCTACTACATGAATTCTCTATATAAACTGAACCTCACTTTATTCTTGTCTTCTTGTTTTTGATATTTCCTCTTATCTCTTCTCCTATCTCTTATCTCTCTCTATACTTGAGTCTTTTCATGGGAGCTATACATTCAACAACAATTAGAAGAGTTCATGGCCTTCAACACGACACAAGATGTGATCACTACATCGTCTTCAACAGCGGCAACCATGTTGATGACTCTAGTCACATTGCCAACCATGAGTATGGCATCGTCAAATGTAAAGGCCCTTCTCCCACTCAAGTATTTGAAGGATAACCATGAGTGTGCCCTTTTTACTTTCCACAACATCCAAGATAATCAAAATCTAACACTCTATCCTTCAATGAATTATACCCAAGCCTCTACAACAAGAAGATGGGGGCGTGGTTACCACCAAAATGATGGTCAAGGTGGATGAGGCTGAGGATACCAATGCCTACCAGGATGCTAAATCTGTATGCAGCTCAGTCACCATGACCATGAATGCGAAGAATGCTTTAATAGAGGCTTCACAAGTGGATTTAAAATCAATCACCACAACAAGCCTAGTTGACACAACCATAATGTCCTTTTAAACCATAAGCTTCTCTAGTAGTATATTCTGAGCAACATGAGCATACACAATCTACTACATGATACCCAAATAATGGTGCTACCCACCATGTCACAATTGATGCCAACAATATCCTTAATCATACCATCTACCAAAACTTTGACAAACTTCATATAGGCAATGGCATAGGTTTGAAAATTCTATCTCATGGCTCATCAACAACCAAATCTAAATTATATCCATTGAAATTAAAAGATGCTCTTCATGTCCTAGATATTATTCATAATTTACTATCAATTAGAAAACTTATCATAAATAATAATGTATTTGTTGAATTTCATCCTTCTTGCTTGGGGAAGGATTGAATGACAAGCAAATACTCTTCAAGGGAAAACTCATGAATGATCTCTACCACTTGTCAATTTGTGCTTGGTAAAAAAAGTAGCACCTCCACTATGACATAATTGATTAAGCCACCCAAATTTATGCATTCTTTGTAAAATCATAAACAAATATAGATCACCTATTATTCACCTCCAAAACATTATATGTGTGAGTCTTGTTGTGTTTCCAAAAATCACAAATTATCATTTTCTACATCAAATAATTGATTTTAGTAGATATACATGCTTATTTCCTTTAAAATGTAAAAGTGAATTATTTACTATTTTTATTTAGTTTCTGCAATGAGTAAAATATCAAATTACCCCTAAATCTTATCTTTTCAATCTGATTGGAGAGTGAATATTGAAATATCCATAAACACTTCACTCAACATGGCATCCAACATAAAGTATGTTTGTCCACGTACTCTCAACAAAATAGAACAGCTAAACACAAACATAGACATTTAGTTGAAACTACTCTCTCTTCACTTCATTATGCATCTATGCCTCAGAACTTACGAGATGAAGTAGTAGTTACAACAACATACCTCATTGATAAGTCTTCATTATCATGAGTTAATAATTAGTAAATAATATAGTTTTAGCCTTAACTCATGATAAATAGACTTATATTTGTGTTAAAGAATGATTTTTGGTTTTCAATTGATTAACGTGAATTTTTGGGTAATTATGTGATTTTATATGATTTTTACAGTCTTACTTTTGAGATAAATGAAGAACAAGAAATAAAAATAAAAATATTGCAAAATAAGGGGACCCGTCGGCCAGCCAGGCCTGCAAGCGGGTCGGAAGCGCAATCAGAGAGTAGGCTGCGAGCAGAGGTTCGAGCGGCTTAGCTTGGGGACCCAACAGGACACGCGTACGCCACTCCCCTTTCACATCACCGGTGGCCAGCCGGCTGTGGGGCAAGGAGTGGTCGTACATGCGAGAGAAGGGACTTTGCTAATGACTAACATTACTATATATTTGCCCGAAAAATCAGCGTACAATTGATGTGGGACTAAACCCCCGTCACACCTTCCTCAGAAGAGGCAGGCGACCGGCGCGGGTTCGAATCCTCCCAGAGTCAAAATTCATATATTTATCTGATTATCGTGACTTTCCTGCAGATCGCCGGTGAAGGATTAAGCAACGAGAATTGCTGGATCATCGGTGAAAATCTCATCAACGCGATTCACAGAGCATTGCTACTAAAATTGCTGAACGATTCACGATAAAAGGATCGCGAATCCATCGAGTAAATCATCTCCGATTGATCGACGAACAAGCCGTCATCAGGAAGAGGATGATCTACCGGGAGACCAGTCGCCATCTCCTGAGAGCGTACCAGATGCGATGAAGAGCCTCCTCTTGCTGTGCGGACCTAAGGATGAAGCTCCCTAACACGCACCTCACCTCCATCCAGCTCCTCTCCGTCGGGTGACAGCCATCGGAGAGCCACAAAGTCGCTGTTTTTCCACTCCGCCGGGTGACAGCTGCCGGAGACGATTCGACGACCCACTTCATTGATCTCTAGACTTTGCGAGAAGATCTAGAGATTGCCCACGTCGTCTTTGTCCAAGGAGAGCCTTCGAGGCCGTGGACACTGCACGACGATCCTCCCGAACGCTCAGGATTCTGGTGCATCGCCGACGCATCGCTGTCATGACGCCGGAACTCTGTTTTACTACTTTCAATTTACTTTACGCTTCATTTAGAGATAATTTTTATATTTTTAATTTACCAAAATATACTTTGTTCTATTACGATTCTTCTGGCTTTTACAAATCTTAATTTGATCAATTAAATCGTCCGTAATTACTTACGTAAGAATCGCCGGGTGGAACTCTGTTTCTGTCTGATTCGCGCTCGCCTAGCGCTGACATCATCCTAACATCCACGCCCTTATTTCCCTTTTTCGTGAATTTTAAATATATTTCCTTTTTATTTCCTAGTATAAAATTCATAGAAAATCGTATTCATTGAGAAAAATTCTGAATAATTACTAGATATTATATTACATCCCTGTGATTGACTTGGAAAATTACCACTATTTTTGAAATTTTTATTGAATTATAATTGATATATTTATTTAGAAATACTTCTAAATATCCGAAAATTCGTATTTTCTAGTTTTATAAATTTTATATTTGCGTGATTTAATATACAACGACTAAGTCACGTCAGTCATCAATAGACTACTCACCTCAATTCTTAAATACAAATCTCCCTATGAAAAACTCTTTCATTCTCCTCCAAATTAAAGCTTTCTTTGTACCTTTGGCTGTTTGTGTTATCTTAATCTTAGATCATATTTTCCTCATAAACTTACCCAAAGGTCTGATAGATACATCTTTCTTAGCTACAATTCACTATATATAGGTTATAGATGTCTGTCTCCATTGATAGGAAAACTTTTTATATCTCATCATGTTCTATTTGATGAAAGTGTATTTCTATTTGACTCATCTTCCCTATCTACATGTGAAACCCAACAATTGTCTAATACTAAAGGTATCTTAGGATCATTACTCAGCACTTAGATTCTCCTCAGCTAGTGATTCAAACTCAACACTTAACTACATCTCATTTAGCCAACCACTTAGATCTAACCTCATCTCAACCTCAAAATTCTCTAAACCACTCTATTTCTTCTTTTGATGCACAAAGCTCACCTACTTTTGTTAACACTTATTTTATTGCTGTAGAACCTACTTCCATTAACTTAAAATCTCTTTCTCCTCCTCCACACACTCGATCTATATGAGACATTTATACACATGCTGCTCTTATCACTCATCTCACTACTTTGTCTACTAAGTATCCTCTTCCTCTTCACCTTAACACTACAACTATTACAACCTTGGAACCTACTTGTTTTCTCAAGCCTCAAAAAACCTATTATGGATGTAAGCCATGAGAACAAAATTTTATGCTTTTCTCCAAAATGAAACTTAGTCTCTTGTTCCCAGACAACCAAATATGAATGTGATTGGTCGCAAATGGATCTATCAACTTAAATATCATGTAGATGGCCTAATTGAAAGATATAAAGCTAGGCTGGTTCTCAAAGGCCTTCGTCAACAATTTGGTATTTGATGTCTATGATACTTTTAGTCCAATCATTAAAATCACCATAGTAAGATTACTACTTGGTTTAGCTATTAGTAACTAATAGATTATACACCAACTTAATGTCTCAAAAGTATTTCTTTATGGTCATTTAGATGAAATGGTATACATGGAACAACCTCATGGCTTCATGCATCCTTTCATTTCAAACCATGTTTGTCACTAACAAAAATCAATATGTGATTTTAAAACAGGCCCCAAGAACACGATTTAAGAAACTTACTTTGCATCTTCATGTTCTTGGATTCTTCAGCTCTAAAATTGACACTTTGTGATGGAGTCAACATGAGGGTTCATTCCTTTCGGTGGATCCACGAGGAGTCAACATGAGGGTTCACCCATGCACCCCTTCTCTAACTACCTTCCTCTATTTCCTATAAATATTCAAACTTAAGAAAAGTGGAAGAAGTGAATTTGAAATCAAGAAGATTCGTGTTATCCTTCCCACCTCTTGGATTAGAGGTTCCTTCTCTCTCATTCGCCTCTTGGATTAGGATTCCTATTCTCTTTTGCTCACCTCTTGGATTAGGGATATCTTCTTCTGCTCGCCATCTTGGATTAAGAGGACCTCTTTCCTTCTCTTCTTCCACCTCGCCGTCTACCCCGTTGCCAGCCCACCTTTCTTTTCTTTCCTATCGTCACCGTCGTTCCACCTCCTCTCCATCCACCCGAAACCCTTTCTTCTCTTCTTCCTGCTCTCTCTCTCTCCCGCCAAAACCCTCTCATTTTGCCCCATTTTCTCCCTCCACCCTTTAGTCAATATTTAAATTCACCCTCGGTTCTCGTCCTCAAGAGAACCCTCTTTCTTCTCTCTCCCGCCATCGCCACGTACCCCCCTCATTCTCTCTCTCTCTCGCTCTCTCTCTCTCTCTCTCTCTCTCCTACTTACGCCCTCTCTTTCCGCCCCCTTTTCTCTCTCCACTTTTTCTTTTCTTTTCACTATTATTTTATTATTTCACCTCACTTCTGGACCCCATTTATAACCTCCGGCCCAAATAGCCCATTCACTTCAAATTACACTAGTCCACTCCTGGGTGCAAACCAATCAATCTGAACCTTGCAAAATCACTAACAAAGCTTGTGGATATCAAGTCACAAGAATCAAGAAAATCAATGAAAATCTCTATTGTGAAGGTGTGTTGGTTATCAAATTTCTTATGAAGTTGGTCATTATTTTAAATCTTTACTCTTAGAAATTTGTGAGATTCATAGGATAGCCACCCTTGTGTTAAAAATTGGTGGTCCAAACCCTAGTTAAGAAGCCTTGTTTGATTCTTTGAAATAGATAACATAATAGGTAGTTAATGATCCTAATTCTCCTAAAATCATGGGATCATCCAGGTATTAAGTCCCCATCCCTTGTGTAGCTCTTTTTTTTTTAAGATCTATTTTGGGCCCTTTTGTCCTAGATCACTTCACTATATTGGTCAAATGGTGGATATCTCATTTTTCTTTGCCCTAACCTCATCTCTTGGAGCTCTAAGAAATAGTTAACTATTTCTTGTTGTAGCACATGGGCTGAATATAAATCTTTAGCTAATACTATTGCAAAATTGGTTGAAATCTTTGCTTCAAGAAATTGGCACCAAAACTCCAACTCCTATCTTGTGGTGTGATAACATTGGCACCACATACTTTGCTGTACACCTTGGACTCAATGCACGTACCCAATCTTGTGATTGATTTCCATTTTATTTGAGAGCAAGTTGTCTCCAATCAACTCTTCTTGTTGTAAGATATGAGGCAATTCAATCAATTATCATCTTCTTGTTCTTGATATTCCCTCATATCTCTTCTTTGATCTCTATACTTGAGTCTTTTCATGTTTCTCCCTCTCTTATTTCTTCTCTCTCTTCACTCATTTTCCTTCTCCCTCCCTCCCACTATCTCTTGAGCACTCACTCTTTCTTTATCTTTCTCTCTTCTCATCTCCCTCTTAGTGAAGAGGTGATAAGTCTTCATTATCATGAGTTAATAATTAGTAAATAAAATAGTCTTAGCCTTAACTCATGATAAATAAATTTATATTTATGTTAAAGTGTGAAAAGTGGTTTGTACTTGATTAACGTGAATTTTTAGGTAATTATGTGATTTTAGACGAACTTTTATGATTTTTACAATCTTAGTTTTGAGATAAATGAAGAAAAAGAAATAAAAATAAAAATAAAGCAAAATAGGAGGGACTTGCTAGCTAGCTGGGCCCGCAAGCGGGTCGAAAGTGCAGTCGGAGAGGAGCCGTAAGTAGGGGCTCGAGCGACTTGGACTGATAGGGGCACATGTGCATCACTCTCCTTTCACGTCACTGGTGTCTAATTGACTGTGGGGTAAAGAGTGATCATACACACACAAGAAAGAGACTTACTTTCAAATGTAATATTACTATATATTTGCCCAAAAATTCGGTGCATAAGCAATGTAGGACTAAACCCACGTCATACCTTCTCTAGAAAGGGCGAGCAACCGGCGCGGGTTCAAATCCTCTTAGAGCCAAAACTCATATTTTTTTATTTAATTATCACGACTTTCTTACAGATCATCAGTGAAGGATTAAGCAACCAAAATCACTAGATCATCGTCAAAAATCTCGTCAATGTGATTTGCGGAGTATTGTTACTAAAATTGTTGAATGATTTGTGATAAAATGATCGCAAATTCATCGAGTAAAGCATCTCTAATTAATCGACGAACAAGCCATCATGGGGAAGAAGACGATCTACCAAGAGACGAGTTGTCACCTCCTAAGAGCGTACTAGATGTGATAAAGAACTTCCTCTTGCTGCGTGGACTTGAGGATGAAGCTCCCTGACATACACCTCACCTCTATTCAGCTCCTCTCTATCAGGTGACAGTCGCTAGAGAGCTACAAAGTCGCTATTTTTCTGCTCCATTAGGTGACAGCTGCCGAAGATGATTTGACGACTCATTTCATTGATCTCTAGACTTCACAAGGAGATCTAGAGATTGCTTATGTCGTCCTTGTACATGGAGAGCCTTTAAGGCTATGGATATTACATGATGATCCTCTAAATGCTCAGGATTTCAGTGTATCGTTGATGCATCATCGTCGCGACGTCGAAACTCTATTTTTCTACTTTCAACTTAATTTCTATTCTATTTAGTAATAATTTGTTGATTTTAAATTTATCAAGATATACTTCATTTCATTATGATTCTTCTGGCTTTTATAGATCTTAATTTGATCAATTAAATCGTTTATAATTGTTTACGTAAGAATCGTCAGGCAGAACTCTATCTTTGTCCGATTCGCGTTTGCCGAGTGCTGACATCATCTTGACGTCCACACCCTTATTTCTTTTTTTTGTGAATTTTAAATATATTCATAGAAAATATTTATAAAAAATATTTTCTATGAATTACTAGATATAATTACTAGATATTATATTACATCCCTGTGATTGACTTAAAAAATTATCGTTATTTTTGAAAGTTTTATTGAATTCTACTTAATATATTTGTTCAGAAATACTTATAAATATCTCAAAATTCATATTTTATTGTTTTATAAATTTTAAATTTACATGATTTACTATACAACGACTAAGTCATGTCAAGAGGCATGTAAAAGAACAAATGATTATTAAGAAAAGATCAATTCAATCTTCTTAGAGAAAGTCCAATCTCCACTCACTCCCCATGCCACCTACCACACCCCCACTACCTACTCATCCATCTATTCCCCAACCTTCATCTTTGTGAACCAATTATGCAGTTTTGTTCCACCCCCCACCCCCCTGTCACCTCAATCCATTCTGTATTGCATCCCCCATCAAATGGCATTTTGTGAACTAATGTTCTTCGCACTTGTGCACTTGTCAGTCAATGGCTAATTATAATAATGTATTTGGATAATCTCTTTCATCTCTTTATTGCAGTTTGTGGTATAGTGTTTATATTTTTAAAATTGAGTTCTCTTTTTTTTATTATACCAATAATTATGTATGAAATTTTCCATTAAAACATTTGTTTGGAGTGAAAATAATTGTATATTTCAAGGCACTTTTATACACGAGAGATGATATCAAGTTATGTCATTAAAGTGTAAATTGAAATAATGCAACTGAGATAGACAACAATCCACAGAGATCCTGATCAGTTTTGATGTCTAACATTGTTAAAAGTCATAAATTAAGGAACTAAACAATCAACAGTTCATTTTCATATCTTGAATCAAAAAATCAATTTGAGGACTATGCATTAAATAAATACATTTAGAGAGTTATTTCAGTCACTTATTGACAATGCAAGCACCCAACATTTAGTATCCATGTTCTCACATAAAAGTAGGCCAATACATATAAAAAATATGAATACAAACAGTAGTTATTGCTTTGAATGGAATGATTATAATAATTGTAAAAATGTTTCTGAAGAATGTGATTCGACTCTACTATATGTTCCTTTGATGCTAGCTGCGCTACCAAAAATCTGATATTTGCACTAGAAAATATATGATTCAAATTATGAAAAACAGATTTGCAAAAATTGTAAGAATTTTATACTCACATGGTTGTCAAGTTTAAGACTGCAAAGACTATTACTTCAAGAATATTGTGCAGAGATAGATTTTTTTTGGCATAAACATGAATTTTTACTTCCTAATAGGGTGACAACATAAGCTAAAAAACTCTTTAATATCTAAATATCTATTTGAATAAACAAGAGTGTCATAAATTGACTATACATACACTAGATTGGAGACTGCATTATTTCAATGTTGAAAAAGACTCCCCATTTCTACTCATTAGTTGATGAAGCAACTGCATAATGGCCATGTTTTTGAAATTGCTTAACATATAGCTCGAAGGGGTAAGAATTAATGGTTAAAATAATTCATGGTGAACACAACTCTACAATTGAACAAGCACTATCATCAATAGTAGAAATTTCAATATCAAATTTAAAAAGTTGTTGTGATATGCATTCTGATTTTAATCATTATTTTATATGATTCAATGTTCCTTTAAGTATGCAAATCTAGTTTTTTAACAAGATGTATAGGTTCCTGGATTAGGCATATTCCACCACAAATGCAATTACAGAATGTATATTGATGACAACCATAAGTGCCTATTATTTTTTCATTACCCATAGATCTAATATGTGAGATTCGTTTACAGGGATTTTAGCAAGAAATACTCATGCGAATTTATATAAATCAATTGATTTCATGCTAAATATCTTACATATTTTCAGAATTTGAAGGCCATTCTCATGAAATGTTCACATCCATCCATTTGGAAATCGGTTAGCATGTCATTGAACAACCAACAATCTAAGTAAACTTAATGCATTCAACATGGATTGAAGCGTTTTAGATGTTTTTTGATATAATTGCCTTTGTTAAATAGAATTCATGATTTAATTTTATTTGAGATTTGGCAATAACTTAGATAAGGGATTTTAGCCTCACAAGTTGAAGTGTGAAAAAAGCAAGTCAATAGTTTGACAAATATATTGTTAAGAGCTCAAATAATGTTCAAATAGAAGTCAGTGCATTTTGCATTAGATATGATGTCCAATCATATGGACAAGTTTTCATGTATACGTTGGTTCCTTGGGGGCTAAAGTAGAATAAAACAGGGGGGGCGTGAACCTATTACTATCAGGTTAAATTGGTAAATTCATTCTGAACTTAATTTCAAGGTCTGGAGCTAAATAGGGCTGTCGATTTATGGGTTTAGAAGGCCACCAATAAGCAGATAGTTTGAATTGGGAGAGAGATTTTATAATGATTTAGTCTCTCTAGGCCTATGCCCATTTCTCAAAGAAACCCTCCTTGAGTTCCGCTATCCACTAATGAATACAACTAATTTTCAATGATCAGTAACCCTTTACATCATGACTTCTGGGGGTCAATGACACCTTGCTGGAGTTTCGGTTCTAGCAACCATTCTCATACAATAAAAGCACACCACATGTATTCTAATACACCAAATAATTGATAAGAAACTAATCAACATGAGGGATGAACCTAATACTATTGCCTTCGAGAAACGATTTCACCCTGAAGAGAGGTAAAGACTTCATCAACTCGTGGAGGCTTGAACGGAAGCAGATCGGTCCTTGATAAGCATGATCAAGAACTTCAAACCTTGGCTGAATCTTAGTCAGGGATGGAGAAAGAGAGGAGGATTCATGCACACTATTCGTTTGATTTCTCTTCACGTTTTCGCTGATTTCCTGTGCCCTAATTTGGGGGAGAAGTCGTTTTTTACCTCCTGAATTAGTGGGCTAGGCCATAATGCCTAACGGCTCGTTCAGACTAGGCTGCTCGCCTTTCTGGGCCTCAACGGCTAGCGGTGTTTTGGGCCTAAATGCACGGCATATTGGGGCTCCGCGGCGCATTGGGCTTCATCAGCTCATCGCTTGTTGGGCTGCCTCCGTTCTGGTCTGGATATTTAGCCGAGATCGTCATTTGAAAGACCAAACCTTTAAGACTTATTGGCCTGAAGTTAGTAGACTAAGTATATGAGCTTAATTGGGCTGCAACATACCAAGCCACACTTGTGGGTTATTTATGAAAAACTAATTACAGAGAAAAACGCACCCAAGCATTAAAAAAATCGAATTTCAATAATTTTCCAATGTGATTTGTGAATTGAATTTATTTTATCTTCGGCTTTCCAAGACCTAATTACACACCAAAATGTGAAGCTTATTAGCATATCCATATGGAGAATGATATATCAGAGATTATATTTTCCTTTAAATCAATGATTTTACCAGCTGATACAGTCCTTAATTTATGGGATCAATTTCATATTCTATTATGTTAATTTACTGAATTGCCCTTCACATCATCAAAACTAATTTAATTCCGTAAACTCAATTGTGCAGAAAATGAAAATTAGCATGTTTTCCTGGTATGTTGTGAGGTTTGTAATGTATGCGCACCTTAACATTATTCACTTCTAAAATAATCATTACATTCTCACAAAGTGTATAGATTTACTATTTCACCCATAACCATTAGCAATTTAGGAGCCTTTCCTATTGTCTGGAAAAGTGAAGATACCACATGAAGGTCAGCCTAGATGGAGGTGAAAGAAGAGATAATTAGATCTAAATGTGAATCTATTCACGGGAATACAAAGTAGCATCAAGGTACTATAATTTTATTACAAATGAAATAGTATGTTTTTCTCATTTAAATTTGATAAAATAATGTTGACTCACATATACATAGAGTAAGTGAATCTACTTTCTTGGTTTGTTATATAGATGATCATTTACTTAAAGGTGATATTCTAAATTGAACTTAGTTCCACATGTTTACTACATGGTGCAAAGCTACATCTTGAACTGAACATTGAGATAAAGGCATATATTTGTATACAGATATATCATTTGGAGTCTTTTAACATAGTTGAAAGTTTTGTTTTTTTCATCATTCTTGCCGACTCTCTTTATCCTCTTGGTGAAAGTTGGACAATTTTGAAAAGTTATGCTTTTTCCTTGAAAAGTAGATCATCATGTTATTTTTGGCCAACTAAATTTTGAATAGACTATATCACGATCATTTTAAATGGTATTACTTTTTAGTTGTTGATATTATTCATATATATTTCACATCATCCTTGCTACATGAAGATCTACATTTAAAATATAACACTATCTAGTAAGAAAGAAAAAAAGATGAGGAAATGCTACTCATATATACAAGATGTGAGAGATATGATCTATTCAGTTATATTGGTGCCATCATTCCAGATGATGTGATGGTGGGAAATGGTTATATTTTAAAGAGTTGAAGAGCAATTGATGACTAACAAGTTGCACTAATCGTTCAGCATATGCAAGAGAGCATCACCAGCCTCATCTCACTTGTATTTTTCAATATTTTCACTCTGTTCAGTTTTGATTGATCTCACAATTCCTCACTTTTGGTCAGGCTACCTTACAGCACACGTTCAGCAGTCGTTTCTTATTCTAAGCAAAAGCTACTGCCACAACAAGCATTCATTGGTTTGCAGTTTCTGCCCTTTGGGCTGTCTAGACCTACCTAGTCCTAAGCCTCTTCATGTAAAGTAACAGTATAAATTCACCTTAATCAAATTTGATGTTATTGTAATCAAAATATACTACTTTTCTCGATTTCTTTGACAATACCAAAGACACGTGTTGAATTTACAACAGTCATTTCACGTTAGATGTACAAAAAGGTCTCAAATTCAATGAAGAATGTATAGATATAAATTTAGTCGACTTCTAGTAAGTATTACTACCATTCTTAGAACATATAATTCACCACAACTGTAGGACAAAATTCTAATCATAGCATTGTCATGAGTGGACAAAACATACCAAATTAGAATACTATATATGATAGGTTAAATTGCTTTAATATTTTGTGTGAGAATAGATATGTTTAGAAGAAGAAAATTCACACAACATCAAGTTTTATAGTAGTCCTGCCAATTATTAGCCCACTTATTGTCTATTGGTTGTTGAATTAGGATATGTCAAATAAAAATAAATTATAAATCAAGCAAGTAAAAGCATTCAGTTCAGATCAATATAAAGGGAACATATCAAGTCGAATAAGAATTTTCTTTTGTTCTCCAAACATATTTAAATCTAAGTAAAAATAAAAATAATGACAAACAATAGAGAGGGAGAGAAAAATATATATTTTGTGCTTAATCACCATTGACCAGTTCCTCCCTTCCCTCGTTGCCATGAACTTATTAATCTATAATAAAGATAATCAAAGAAACAAATTAAGACTAATATACGGGTTTTTGGAGTTAGCTCACCCTCGTGGGATCGTGACCCTTTGTCCTAGCAGGATAATAAAGAACATAAGAGAGAAGAGAGGGAGGAGAGAAGAATGACTGGATCTAGGAAAAATATAAAAAATCTGATACAAAAACAATAAGATTATGGATTGTAAACAGGTTTAAGGTTGATTTATTCAAAGAAGCATTTAGAAAATGATGAATTAAAAACCGAAATTCCCTTTTCACACTAGGGATGAGGTAGACAAACGAATTCAAAATTTGAGGCAAATCAATTGATTTTATTTGCATGAATAAGTTCATAAATTAAATTAAAGTTAATACTAATTTTATAAAAACAAAAAACCAGGCAAAAAGTGATTGAAATTAGGATTTCCTCCCTTTGATGGTTGGGATAGACATGAACGAATTCGAGCTAAATCCAAAATAAAAATCATAGAAATCAAAAATTTCTTTGAATTACTCCTTTCAACTAAATGAATCAAATAGAAGAATTCAGAATGAAGTAGAATCAGTTTTTTATCCAAATAACATGAGAAAAATCTGTTGTTTGTCACTTGGCAGGAAAAGGAAGAAAAGGAAGAAAAATCTGTTGCTTTTCCCTAATCAAAACTTTTTATAATCCCATTAGATCTAGAATCCATTACACATTACACTGTCCATTTCTCTATCCATTTTCCAGCTTCATGCAAACATTTTCAGTCGTTTCCAGCTATTTCTAGAATCATTTTAATTTAATTAAATAAACCAATGCAATGGGTGTTAATGGGCTTCTTTACAAGGCACATAATGGCCTTATAAATCAATATATATCCCAAAAATATTCTAACAAATACCAAAAATCAAAGAAAGTTATATGTATTGAAAAAAATGGGTTTAAAATATTCAATTCTTATTTTAGCCTTAATAATGACAGATTTAAAGGCAAAATATCAAGGAAACCATATTAACACATGATCAAGGAATACTAGAAATATAAACATGCTTTAAAATATGTAAATATCATACATTAAGCATGTATTCATAAAATTAATCTAAAATATAATTTACTTGATTTTTCATTAAATATATATCATTTAACATGAACTAATGCACCAAATATTCTAAATGTCTGCTATTTATCTCATAAAAATGTCATGTTATCACCTGCCACAAGTTTTTCCTATTTCATCATAAACATGTTACACCTATTGACTTCTCAAGATGATAACTCATCCATTAACACATGAAATTCTTAGCTTATATTACTCAAAATAAAATTAAATAATTATTCACTTTGCCCAATGAACAGTTGTGAAGTAATCCTTGATAAGATTGGATGGAAAACTTAAGATGATGGTTTATATGGATTAAAATTTTGAATCTTAGGAAGTTAGAAAATATTTTTCATTTTGATCTTTAATAACTTGACATCTTCAACTGATCATCATTGTAAAATAGCCACCCTTGAAAATCATGAAAATATATTTGATTTTCAATTTTTGTTTCAATCAAACTAGCTTTGAGAAAACTACGAGTACCAACCCCTACAAGTCATGTGTTGGCACTTCATCGTGGTGCACATTGCAAGTATCAACACTTTTTTATAGTACAAATTCCAAATCTCATCCCTTCTCTAAGCAATTATCAACATTTGGGGGGGACTTTTCTTTCTCATAGGAGTTACCAATTCAAATCTTGGGTGCTGGCTTAGAAATTCTAGCATCAATCGTTTTATGAAGCATTGATACTTTTGTCTTCAACTTTAAAAATTGATGTAAAGAGTTAACCATTTTACTTAGATCCTAGGTGTTGACCCCAATGTGAATAGCTTAGGATTTTCTATGCGTACATATTTGTATAGGGCACCTCAACCTATTTGTAAAAATCTGGCCATCTATCACACAAGTTTCAATAGATTCTCATTAATTACCTTTACAATATAGATCTCAATATAAATTTACATGGTTATTTTTTTTCCATATAGGTGCCCAAAATTTAACCTTAGTCATCTTCCAAAAATTCTATCAAGGATTCACCAATGGGTGTCAACACCTTAACAATATATTTTCTTTTTTTTTTCATTGACACGAGCTGTTGGTGCTTCCTAAATTTATAAATTTTTTGAGCTTATTTATTCAACATTTTCAAATACTAACATTTTGGGCAACTAAAGTCAGGTTTTAGAAGATTTAAGAAATAAGAAACATATAAACTTGACAGCC